ACATGGCCATATTTGCCTCTGTCTCCAACCGAGGGCCAAAGGGCCAGAGGGCTTGTTTTAGCCCTGTCACAAAACCGTCTCCAACCGAGGGCCAAAGGGTCATAGGGCCAAACATAATTTATTATTTAAAAACTACAACTAAAATGTTGTTTAAGTTTCATGTTGTATAATTTTTATGTTGGTTAATGTTATTTAATGTTGTTTCATATTGTTTAATGTTGTTTCATGTTACTTAATTTAATTTAATGTTGTATAATGGCTTAGGAAGTTATAGGAAAAAAATAGAATTTAAAAAAAAATATATGAAACAAATTTTGTCAAATAGAAGTTATAGAAAAAAAAATGGAATTTAAAAATAAATATGAAACAAATTTTGTCAAATAGAAGTTATAGGAAAAAAATGGAATTTTAAAAACAATATGAAATAAATTTTGTGAAATAGAAGTTATAGGAAAAAAAATGGAATTTAAAAAAAATATGAAATAAATTTTGTGAAATATAAGTTATAGGAAAAAAAAATATGAAACAAATTTTGTGAAATAGAAGTTATAGGAAAAAAATGGAATTTAAAAAAAAATATGAACCAAATTTTGTGAAATAGAAGTTATAGGAAAAAGTAGAAGTTATATGAAAAATTTTGTAAATAAAAAATAATAATAATAATGTAAAAAAAAAAATCAAATCAAATGCAACGGCTAGTAGCCGTTTCATTTGAATTTTTTTTTTTAAAATCCTGTCGGTTATAACCGACAGAAATACACCATTATTTAGTATATTAAATAATAGCATGTATTCCTGTCGGTTATAACCGACAGGAATAACAAAACTATAAAAAAAAAATAGCCAGCCAGCCTTTTGGCCCTTTGGCCCTTTGAAATTCCATGGGGCCCTCCCAGACTCTCGAGCCCTCTGGCCTAGCCCTCGGTTGGAGACGGTTTTAGGGCTATTTTCAGTCCTCTGGACCCTTCGGTTGGAGATAACCTGATATTTAAACACATCTGTAAGATTTCATGCCCGTAAAAAAAGAGTGTACATTATCCAAAATTGATGGTTGTCAACAATTAAATTCCAATGTGTTAACAAAAATATAGTTGAATCTTAGAGCATCTCCTTTGCTAAACTAGCAAGTGAAATGTGTTCAAAACTATTTTAGTTACTCAATTTAACTTTTTATCTCTAACAACACTCTATTTTTACATTATGTTTTATTATTGATAATTCACTCACTCATTATTTAAAACAACATTTTCTCTGATGAGCAGTTGCTCTGTAAATTTAAAAAGTGACTGTTCATTTTACTATAATAGAAGTTTTTTTATTGAGCCTGTTAAAGATGTCCTTTTTTAAATTTAGCTCTTTAAAAGAGAATTTTAGTTATTTTATATCATCTGATGCTCTTATTTTACTTAATCCAAGCCAATATAGCACTGGCTTTGACAAGATCCGAATAATTCGATTGGCTGCGTTACCAGCTACCCAACAACATCAAAAAACCTCCATACTCCCTAAATTCAATCGAGACCATGTAGTTATACAAAGTAAAGATATTGTTTATTTACACTTTAAAAATGTCTATTAAACTATAAAAGTGAAAATTCTATAATCACTGTTGGGGTGCTAGATCCTCACACAACTCCCTTGCGTGAGTTCTAAACATTGAGTTAATTGAAGGTGCCTTGGCAAAGCCTTGAATAGGCTCTCAGGTTCTCTTACACAGTTAGTTGCTATTGGGCGTGCTACTGTTGGCCAAGATCAACAAATTGTTTAGTTAGTTTAGATGTTTATAGGTCATTTGCTTGTGCCACAAGTCAATTGAGCTTTTTATCAAAAGACTATTCTATGGAGGGGTTAAATCCATATTAGGTTCTTTTCTTTGCCTTGAGAACAAGACTTTATATTCTCCTTGTGTTGAATGTCAAAATACGACCACAGACTGATCAGAAATGGTCGAAGCCAATTTGTAATCTTTGTGAATGTCAAAATACGACCACAGACTGATCAGAAATGGTCCAAGCCAATTTGCAATCTTTGTGAAAAAGTAAAGACATAAAGTAAAGCGAGACAGAGAAAAGGTGAAAAGCTTAAGGTAAAGTGGTTTGAAAATAGTTGTAATTGTTAGTCACAAGGACAATAAACTGCATTAAAGAACAATAACTTGAAAGTAAATGACAAATACAACCAATCGGGCAATGTTTGACCTATTCAGGCAAATTCAGATACCAGTCAGGCAAGGTCTCGCAAGTACACGACATGTTTTGAAAAGGAAACTTTAATACATGAAATGGATACTACAAAGGGAAGTAGCAGAGTTATAAATACAAAGGAATGTTTGAACTACAAAGGAATATATGAAAAGTAGGTTGCATAGCTTTTAAAAGTCTTTTTTTTTTATGTTGAGTTGAGTGTCCTTTCTTCAATCTCTCAGCTGCCCTTTTGTAGAAAATGCCTCTTTCTTCCAAAGTAAGTTCTCAGTCTCAAGTGGTTGATGTAATTTTGTCAAAGAATGACTCCCACTTGGATACTTGAGCTTTGATCCTCTTCTATCTACAGGTTTTCCACTAAAAATGTTTTTCTTTGCAAATCCGACTACAAATCTCTTCTTTCAGTGTGAACGAGCGTGATCTTGCCGCCCAAACATACCAAGTCATAAATATTTTTAAACTTTGGGCCGCTTATTGTTCATCTATGTTAAAACTAAATACCAATAAGCAAACCAACTGAATTTTAAAGAATTGGGCTTTGGCCAAGCCCAATGCCTGATTTTAGTCCAAACAGTACTATCTAAATTATTAGAAGTGTGCGCAAATACCACCAAAACTTAAAGTCTTGCAAATTCACCATCCATACTCATGCTTTAATGTGAATGGGTGTACGAGGGAAACCAATTTTTAGACCAAATTTTATGAATAATATGAAGTGGTTGTTAATCATTGGATTATTACTTAAATGTTGATTAACATGTTTTTTTCTTATTAGTAACATATCACATGGTTTGTAAAATTAGTCAACCTAGCATTACTCAACGTGAATATACAACCCCTATGCCATTTCGTTAAAAATTTAGTCAAAACTTATCATCAACATATGTAAGACCTTTTTCAAAGGTATTTTTTCACTTAATGACACTTATAGCGCGTTTACTAACCCGTAATCGGAATGAGAATAAGGAATCCGATTCCAATTACGGATTATACCTGTGTTTACTAAAATTGGGAGGAATCAAAAGCGCATGGGGCCCACACAAAAAATGGAATCCAATTCCTGAAATTGGAGGATTTGGATTCCCAACATATATAAGGTATTTGGATTCCGGATTGCCCAAGCAATCGGAATGATAATTTTTTTTCCCTTTATACCCTCACTTACTTTCATTATTTCCAAGATTATCCTTTTAACCCTAGACTTATTTTTCTTTTCACCCAACTCCTAACAATTTCTTTACATATCCTTCTAGCTCATTAAGCATAATTCTATGCTCGTTCACATTATGCACAACTCCATACATATGTCGAAGAGAAAAAACTACAACTTGAGCGAGAAAATTTAGATATTAAAGTCAATAATTAAATTTATAAAAAAAATAAACAAAATCATTTTAGTATGTCTATGAAATAAAGAAGCAATTTAATTTTTTCTTACTATTATATACTATATCAAATTTTATTAAAAAAAGTATATAAAATATTTGATTTGAGACAAGGGCATTTTAGTAATCATATTAGTTTATATTCCGATTCTGCTGAATTAGTAAACAGCTTTATGGAATTGTATTCCGATTCTGGACAGTTTTAGTAAACAACTTCAACAGGAATCTGATTCTGATTTCACCTCATTTCAATTCCTTCTCAATCCAATTCCTCCTCAATTCAATTCCTCTCAATTTGATTACGGATTAGTAAACGCGCTATTAGTGACTGAGTAAGAATTCTGTTGACTAAAGTTTGTGAAACATTTATTCCGCCTCCTCAAAAATAAGTTGCAGTCAACGAAATTTTTATCCCAGATCACCTACAGGTGGTTTTTTTTTTTTTGTTAAATAATAGATTTTGTTAAATTAACCTCTGACGATATTTGAATTCACGCCGTTATGTAAGGGCTCAACGCTTAAAGGACTTAGAGTGGTTAAAGTATGCATGAAAAATTGATCAAGTGTGCAATAAATGATGAGTTTTGATAAAATTTTCAATGAAAATTGACAGAAGTGACACACCTACATTAAAAATTAGAGTTTGTGTGGAAAATTGGCAAACAAAAAAAAAATATATAAATAAAACCCAACCAATACTGCTCTCCACTCTTCTAGTCCCACCCACCATGGACAGCCCCAGGAATAGTCCAGGACAGCCCATGGATCTTCCAACAAAATCACGGTCGGAATAGAGGCCTCTAAAAGGCGTCACTGGATCGAAGGCGCCTAGAACTTATGATTTGAAAGAAGTTGAGTGTTTTTTTCTTGATGTGGCACGTGGGTCGATTTTGGAAGAGGATTCTATCGCTTTGCTGTGCTGTTTGGCCACGGCCCCGCCGGTGACAGCTGATGCGAGCGTGACGTCGGTACATGCCCGCTGATACTCGGGCTTTTGGGCGGAGCAGTGCTAGGCTCACCACTTGCCCTTGCCAATTTAACCCGCTGGCGCTGGAAGAGGGTTTTTGGGCTAGAGAGCATGTTCCTTGTCCCTTGCCCTTACCATCGATCAATTGGCATTGCTGCCGCCTCCCTTGCACCCAAAAGGCCAACACACCCCCCCCCCCCCTCTCTCTCTCTCTCTCTCTCTCTCTCTCTTCAATACTCTAATATTCTCCCTTTTTCTTTTAAACAAAATAAAAAATTCCTACCAACACATTTCCTAAAGTCATTGACTTGACTATAAAGCGAAATCATTAAAAAAAATCCCATAAAATTATACAACACATTTCCAAAGATAGAATTATATTTAAAGAAAATTTAATTTTCGTGAAAATAAAAACTGGAAAATAATGAAGTTTACGGAGCACAAAGATGGAGAATCATGTAGCATTTGTATTTCCAATATCAAAATATATAAACACAAAAGAAAGAAATTATCCAAAATTTTCTCTCCTTTCCCTGTTTTTCTTTTTCTTCTTCAAATTTGGCATCAAATTTTATTTATTTGGCACCAAATTTTCATGTGTATATACATTACATGGTGAAATTTCACCAATTAAAAAGTATAAAAACAAAAAAACACAATTCCAGCTTCCTCAAACCGAACTGTACTCACTGTAATAATCTTGGTGAATCTCGGAGGCGGCCCAGAGCCGTTGATTAAACTCGTCGCTCATCTCATCGGGCACGAAGGCCATCCTACAAAGCGGACAGGTCTTCTGGTCGTGGTCCATCCAACGGTCCAAACACGCCCGGTGAAAAATGTGCTTGCAATTCGTCAAGCACCTGATCTCGTCCTCCACCTCGAACTCGTACAGACAAACGGCGCAGCTCTCCGGCGGGTCTCCGGCTACGTCGCGGAATTTGACGACGGGGAGAAATTCCCGGATCAGGAGGGCCGACGAGGATGGGTTTTCCAGCAGGTGTGACCGGGTCTCCGGCCAAACAACGTCGGTTTCGAGAAATTCGGAGAGACCCAGAAAGTGGAAGAGAGCGAAAATGAGGTTTCGGATGAAACCGAGGAGAGAAAGAGTGTGGATAAAGAGGTTGGGGAAGATGAAGACCTCTGTGTATCCCACTGGGAAGCCCATGGCGGCGTTTTAGGGAGAGAAAGGGGGCGTTTTTCTAGAGAGAGAGCAACCAGGTCGTGTTTCTATAGACTAGAGAGAGAAACTGCCGAGTGGGTCGATTTGGTGGCATTTTATAGAGAGAAATATCGATAGGGGGTCACAGTCTGCGACATTGTTGTTACGTGGGTCCCACTGGAATCTGGGCCGTGAATGGTGGGGTGGCTGGGGATGGGCCATGTGCTTTGCTCTGGCGTGCGGGTTACTGAGCGTGCGTCACCGTCTTGCAACAGTCGCCAGAATTACACAAGTGGCACGTGCTAAAATTAGGACAGAGAGAGGGAGCGGTGGGTGTGGCTTATGATTGTAGTCCACTAGCGTATTGTAATTAAGGACTAATTGACTACTAATCAGTGTGATTATCCTGTGGCTGTCATAATTGAGTCAGTGACCATGTTTATAGGCGGCATTTCACTTCATTTCTTAATTCACGAATAGAAAGAATATTATAAATGATTGACCATGTTTGCAATTAAGAATGTTTTCTAAAAACATAATTTAGAAGAATTTCATATGATCAGTGGCGGCGAAGTCAAAAATCGCTCTCAAAAGGGGCCTTTTAAGACATATACAAGAAAGTAAACCAAATATAGCAATATAATTAATTGGAGAAATATTTAAGGTTTCTTTTTTTTTATTTGCATGGAAAATTTATCAAACAAGAGTGATGGGGCATTAAATTTCTTATGAAAAATTCAATATTGAGATTATTATATCATAAGAACATAACTTGTTTACGAGCTTTAATGAAAATGAAGATTCGAACAAAAGTTTAAGTTCATAACATAAAACTATTACCATGAGATTTTCCTTTCAACATAATTGAATCTTCTTTTAAATTAGATAGAGCTTGTTTATATGAACTGAACAAAAAAAGAATTTGATTTTATATGATAAAACATAAGACTAATTATAAGGTTTACAAAACTTTGTTTTATATAAACACAAAAATAATGGAATTAGTTTTTATATGGTAAAACAAATCCTTTCAACATAATTGAATCTTCTTCTACATTAGATAGACCTTATTTTTATGTGAACTAAACAAAAAAAGAATTAGTTTTCATATGGTAAAACAAAATGAATCTTCTTCTATATTAGATAGACCTTGTTTTATGTGAGCTAAAAAAAACTAGTTTTTATATGGTTTAGAACCCCATGGCCCCATAAAACTATCAAACTCCACTTACCAATGCACTACAAGCTATTTACTATAAACATTAGCAAACAATACATATATATTTGTCAAATTTCAGGATGGCGTAAGTCTTACCTAGCCTCCATATGGCTCTGCCACTGCATATAATTATAACGTTACATGGTGTTATTATGAGCGGATACATTTTCTAATTCTAGACCCTCCTGATATCAGTTGGAAAATGTAAGGTAATGCTTTATTCTTGTATTTCTTAGGTGTATTTATGGTTTTTGTGTCCCTTTGATTTGGTTATTCAATTAAAGGACATGAAATTTACTTTCAATAGTCATCGACACTGTATTGAATCACCATCACTCATTATTTTTAAGGAAAATTAATGAAAATGGTTTGAAAACTTTGAGTTTTAATGATAAGGACAAAATAAAGGGTAAAGTGAATAGTACCAAGATTGACTTTTTAGTGTAAAAATGTGGTTTTACGTTAAAGTGAACAGTACCGGGTGCTTTTCGTTAAAGTTCCCTTATTTTTATTGTATTGATAATGCACGACTCTTAAAAAATTTCATTTTCTTTCTGTGTTCCTTATCAACAATGTGTTCATAAATTTAAAAAAAAAATGATAACTAATGAGAAGGGAATGTGTCACTACTACAAAATTATCTATAACTGGCAGTTCAAAAACCGACAAAAAACGTATATTATTGTCGGATTTTAAGCAAAATCCGACAGAAAATAGATATAGTGGCGGATATAGTAAGCGACAGAATTTTTTGCGTCAGGAAATGAATTTCCGACAGAAAATATCTAAAACCGACAAAAATACTGTCGGTTATAACCGACAGGATATATATTTATAATAAATAAATAAGAGATTTATATCGGATAAAACCGACAGAAAATACTAAAACCGCCACTAATTTTGTTGGATATAACCGACAGAAAATTTATTATAAGAATAAATAAAAGAATTATTGTCAGATAAAACCAATAGAAAATATATTAATAATAAAAAAAAATTTGCAATCTTGCTGTTCTTGACACAACATTCTCTAACATAGCAGAATACGAAGCACCGACAAGAAAATGCATATGCAGATCGAAATACTCAAGTAACAGCTTGGAAGCCATATCACCAGCTTCACTACCATTATGACCATAAAAAACAGCAACAACTCCAACTCTAACCTCCTCAATTCCACCACCGTTACTTGCGTGAAAGAAAATCATACCAATCCCCAATTTATTGTCAAATCAGTGAGAGAGAAAGAGAGAGGTTCTGGAGCGCACCAGGAAAGGGAATGATGAAATCGAGGGCACAGAGAATGTGATCCTCTAGCGGCCTTGCACGATCTTTGAGCACAGCCGTTTCACAGCTGGACATGCTTCGAGAGCAGGAAGCGCACCAGTCGGAGTGCCTCCATTGAAGGCATTCTTGGGACTTGAAAACCGCCGGGGCACCGCCATGTTCGTATAGCGTCAAGCACGTCAACGATTCGCCTCCATACGAGCACATCATGAAGGCTGCGATTACGGTTAGGCGAATCAAGCTGCAATCTGAAAGCTCAAAGTCTCATACATATGGTATTGTTGCGGAAGCTCAAAATAGTATATCCCCTTCTGTGAAATCAAAGCTTGAGCCTTGAGACTAATGCCAAAGAAAATGAGCTTTTGTTGACATTTTAAATAATAAAATAATAATTGTTTGGTTTAATAAATAAATAAATAATATGTATTTAAATAGAATATGTTTTTAAAAATTAAATAAATAATTGTTTGGTTTAATAGATAATTTTTATATTTTTGGTTTAATAGATAATAATCCATGTAAAATATGCAATAAAAAAACAAAAAGAGAATTGTATAATGAAAATGTCATCGCATAAACTAAATATTGTCTAATAAACACTTGAAAAACGTAAATAAAAATTTAGCACAAATTACTTTTCCCACTTCAAAATTTAGGCAAATTTATGCATTCTACGAAACTAGTTTCCATGATCTAACCGTCAAACTTGTTTGCAAATACTACAAGATCGCATACGTAAAAAATCGTAAAAAACAAACATTCAGATATTACGTAACGGGACAAAAGTTTTCGATGGTTATAAACGAAAATTCACAATTTAATGGTTATTTTAGCTTCGATTTTAATGATTTTTTACAACTGAGGATTAGGAAAAATTAATAAAAATTGTACTGAGGATTTTTTAATGGATATCAAAAGTCTTTTTCCACTGAGGATTAAGAAAAATTAATAAAAATTGTACTTAATAGAAATAGCTTGATTGAAAAATGAAAATAAATTCGTAGTTAAGTAAAGCATTGGCTCAAAGAAACTCTTGTTCTTATAAAGACTTGGTTTGAAGTGAAGCTTAAGAAGAAAACATATACACAGAGAACATAAAGCAAACAAAAGAAGATAATTTTTTATCGACGAACGAATTAAGAACATGTTGGGAAAAAAATAATAATTAAGCACATAGATTTTCGATATTCTTTTGATATCCGCCAGTAAATATCCGTCAAGAATTTCTATCGGATATATCCGACATGATTTTTCTAATATCCACCACTAATTAAATGATGTGTCGGATACAATTTATCCGACAAGATTTTTCTAAAACCGCCACCATCATCCGCCACCTAAAGCTAATATTGTAGTAGTGTGTATTGCACGTGAAGGTGATAGTTTATATAAACGATATTTGTTAGAGTAGAATAGAATCACAGGGTCACCAGAACAGAAAGCATTGTATTTAAAGAGGTGCAAATTATTAATTACTGTACATAGAAGTCGATAGAGTGGTCATAAGAGGCTAATGCATAGCCGATAAAGTTAGCCTCCCGCCAAACGACGCTAAAACTAACAGATTCAAAGGTAAACTAAGTACAAAATATGAACAAGAGTTTAATTCTCCAAGAAATTAGACAACGACACACAATGCAACAATAAATAACTTCTAATCACCCTAAACTTTTGTTTTTGGGTACCCAAAAAAAAGAAGGCAAACGCCCAACAAAACTTAAACACAAACAAATGATGCCTTAAAAACGCCGACAATACCCTGTTGAATCAGCCGACCAACGCCACAAGGCATCTCAAAAATATGACAGCCAAACTCCATTGAAATCTGCCGCGATTCACCTAAAGATAGCATCAACCAAGTCCCACTAATCATTTCATGCCAAACCAAGAAAAAGTCACGTAAAAGTGAATAAAATACGTCTTGGCATCACTTTATTATTACTAATTGGGACAGTGTGATATATAATATAATAGATGGGCATTCTTTTCGGATTCTTTTTGTAAAGATTTTATCTCTTTGTGAGGATCTTATAGATCTTTACATTTTATCTGTTTATCATACATCATGCAGTCAATTTTCGTTAAATATTATTTGTGTTTAATTTTAAATAAAAAATTTATAATAATTTCTGATCGTGATATACGATGAACTAATAAGATCTAAATCCAATTACACGTCATACGTGGCCCTAATAACCTTACAATTATCACTTTTTTTTTAATAAGTTTTAAGGCTGCAAATAAGCATTTGCAGCAGCAACAGTGAGTCAAGAGCAGTGATTCAGCATACGCATCTTTATATTCGTGCACGAATAAAGGTAAGATCATATTTTTATTGTTTTTTGTTACTAAACTAGGGTATCATCAGATTAATTAGCATAGTCTTATTTAATTAATTTAAAATGTGCTTCATATTGATTTAAAACGTGCAGCTTATTTTATAAGATAACAAGGCTTTTCCAGCAAAATAAAAAGAAAAAGAAAATAAGGTTTTGACTTAAGTTATAAGGATGTATTAGCCATTATAAAATATATCATTAGTTGGTTGTTTATATTCATATTAAGTGAGAG